ACAGTCCATCAGCTGGTTAATGGACAAACAAAATGCGGTACATCCACACAATGGGAGACTCCTCAGCCATAAAAAGCCAAGTACTGATACATGCTACCACATGGATGAAAGTTGAAGACACGTGCTAAGTGAAAGAAGGAATGGGGACTGATGTTTCATGGTACAAGGTCTCCTTTGGGAGTGATGACAATGTTTTGGAACTAGAAAGACAAATGGCTGTCCAACATCGTGGATGTTGCAAATGCCACCAAAGTATACACTTTAAAATGGCTGGCTCTACGTTATGTGAGTTCACCGAAGAAGAAGAAAAGAAGGAAAAGAAGGAAAAGAAGGAAGAAAGAAGAAGAAAGAAAGAAAGAAAGAAAGAAAGAAAGAAAGAAAGAAAGAAAGAAAGAAAAGAAAAGAAAGAAAGAAAGAAAGAGAAAAAGAAATGAAAAGAAAGGAAGGAAGGAAGGAAGGAAGGAAGAAGAAAGAAAGAAAGAAAGAAGAAAGAAAGAAAGAAAGAAAGAAAGAAAGAAAGAAAGAAAGAAAGAAAGAAAGAAAGAAAGAGGTTTAGAGTTGAAGAGATGTTTTCATTTTTAGCCAGCCTGGATTACATTTATCATTTACCAACAGAGCCTTAAAATGTAATTTTTAGTATCTATTTTCGAGTGGAAAAAGAGGCCCACGAAAACCTTCTGCAGCCCTACCAGGGGGTGTGCACTGACTGTCCCACTGGGAGGTTTCCCTGGAGGAGACCTACCAGCATCATAGGCTCAGAAGAGCACCTCAAATGACCGAGGGGAAATGGTGGCCAATGAGCCTTGTTTGGGAAAACACAAGGCACAAGGGTACCTACTAGGGATTTTCACAAACCATTCCAGAGGGCTTTGCTGGGATGCAGGGTCACTGCAAGGGAGGCCATACAAATAGCAGTTACTGAATTCCTTACTTTAACACCAGTCTGCAGTGGTCTTTAGAAATTAAATCAGTAGTAACTACTAATTTTTTATTCAGCCTCCCTTCTTTGCGCACTGCTTGATGTTCACCCTACAAAGGAGGCCTACCCATTTTACAGATGTGGGAACTGAAGCCCTGAGAGAAGGCAAGTAGTTCATTGACATCACGCAGCGTGAGAGAGTTACAGCCAAGGAATCACACCCAAATTCGTGTGTCTGGCTTTTCCCACCATACCATGTGGCACCCTGCAAAGGGAATGTTTGGTTTTTAAACAAAAACATCTTGGCTGCAGCAAACTCTGCGTGTTGTGCCTTTACCCTGCGCTCAGTTTCTGAGAACAATCACTCTGGGCTTTCTAAAGAAGACATGTGGACAGCACCTGCCATGAGGCTCTGCAGACAATCTTGTAGAGACCACAGACCCTGAAAAAAATGTCATAGCTGATAAAGAGGACCCCAAATAGGATCAGAAAAATCTGTGGACTCTCATTGAGGGCATTTGCTTTCCTCCACCTAAAACCATCACTGATCAATTGCTCTTGTGGACTGACAGCTAATCACTTTCTGATCTCATTAGCAGTTCTAGGGCTTAAGCGTATTAGTGAGCCCGGGAGGAAAAGCGGGGTGAGCTTCAAATTAGCGAAGAGATGAGGGAAATGAGCCTCACACATTTGGGTCTTTCTAGAAAGGTTTATGCAGATCAAAGAGTTCAAAATTTATCTTCCATAAAGGTCTATGGGGGAGGGGGGCAAAAACCTGTCCTGGAGGGTAGCCCTATGAGAAGCAGGTAAAGAGGGGGAGGAGCCTTTAGGCCTGATTATACAACAGACAGCCTCTGTGCAGACCAGCACCTGGGGCGGCCTGGCTGCGGGAAGACGACCTTTCAGAGTCTATGCCAAATTAGCCCAATTACCCGGTTAAACAAACAGAGCCCCAGGCGTCTCTCTGGATACCACATTTTATCATCTTCTGGCAGTGTGCAGTCTTTCCAAGAAAGCTGTCCTGCTGAAAAATTGCTGGGTGGGGAGAGAATCAGCAAAAGGTGCATATTTGTAAACAGAACCTCTAATATTCATTATTTTTCCCAGAAGGGATAAGGCCAGCTCCACCACCAGCGGATAAAAGCAGCTTTGCCTGCTGTGGCTGTCGTTTCAATGATAAATGTATTTTTCTCCGCTGCCCAAAGCTGGTCTCTTGACATACTCTGAAAAGTAGGGGAGGGGGGGATGTTACTTGCTGAGCCCCACGGGAAGGAGAGAGGAGTGCTGGCGATGCATAGATTTTAATGATGGGATCTGCACCAAGAAAGGGGTGGCCTAAATCCTTTACTCAAGGGCCCTTTCTCCAAGGAGAGTTCTCTGATGGAGAAAAGCAGGGGCAATTAGAAAAGCCGCACCACGAGGAGGGAGCTGCACAACGCTGGAGAAGGGCTCTGCCGGCGACTGTTCCTGGGGGCCGCAGGTGATGGGCCATTACAAGAATGAAACTGGGGTGGCTGGCTTGGGCGGAGCAGGGTCTGTGTGGCTGTAACAAAGCCCCCCTCCACTTTCTAACCCACTTCTGGGGCCCACGTTTCCCCTTCCTGCTTCATGGGAGTGTCTCAGGGAGTGTGAAAGCTGGGGAGGCTCACTGAGGTCATGCACTCAGGGACAGCAAACACTTGCCACTGCTACCCTGTCCTCCACCCCCTCCCTGTGCCCAACTGATCACCCTGCCTAATCTTTTCAAGCCTACATGCAGCCTCAAAATTCTCATCAGCTCAGCATGCCACAAAGCCTCAGCAGAGCTAGGACGCCAGATGAAAGCCGGCAGGTTAGTTTTGTCTAACCTCATCTCGTCGTTTCTGTTTCAACACACTGCTTGTTCGTTGGGTTAAAGATTATACGTTATGCTATTGTTCTAGATTTTCTTCTTTTATTTCTTTGTCCCTGCCCCCCCTGCTTTTACTGTTTTTAAAGATTTTATTTATTCATGAGAGACACACAGAGAGAGGCAGAGACATAGGCAGAGGGAGAAGCAGGCTCCCTGTGGGAAGCCCCATGTGGGACTCCATCCCAGGACCCTGGGATCACGCCCTGCCCCGAGCCAAAGGCAAGACGCTCAACCACTGAGCCACCCAGGGATCCCGACCCCTTTGCTTTTAAAACATAAAATAACAGCTTTATTTGAGATATAATCCCCATGCCACAAAACAGACCCTTTTATAGTGTACAATTCATTCATTTTTAGTATATCCACAAGGTCATGCAACTTTCACCACTAGCAAATTCCAGAACGCTTTTATCATGTCAAGAAGCAATGATACACACACACCCCAAACCCAGAAGCAGTCACTCCCCACTGCCTTTTCTTCCCAGCCCCTGGCACTCACTAATCTACTTTCTGTCTCTATGGACTTTGCTTATTCTGGACCTTTCCTATTAATAGAATCATATGACACGTGACTTTTTGTATCTTAAGAGTTCATTTCTTGGGATGCTTGGGTGGCTCAGTGGTTGAACGTCTGCCTTGGGCTCAGGGCATGATCCCGGGGCCCCAGGATTGAGTCCCACATCGGGCTCCCTGCGAGGAGTCTGCATCTCCTTCTGCCTGCCTCTCTCTCTGTGTCTCTCATGAATAAATAAATAAAATCTTAAAAAAAAGAGTTCATTTCTTTTCTTCTGATTTTAAAAGAAAGCAAAACATCACTGGGGCCCCTCCAAGTGGCATGGGCCCCAGGCACCAAGCCTGCTGCAGAAGTTGGCCTTGCCTCCAAGGAAGCCTCCACCCTCCCCAGGGCACCTCCAACTCTGCTGGCCACCACACACTGCCACTGCCCGTTTCTGACACCTTCACAGCGCTGGAGTCCCAGGTGAGGGCAGACGTGGGGATGCCTCCCGCCCTCCGCACCACCCAAGCCTGCCCTGCTCCCCACTGCCCTGTTCATGGCACTGACCCAGAAGTCAGATCCAGCCTGTCCTCCACTCAGCCCACCCTCTGAGACCTACTGCTTTGATCCTAGGCCAGGCCTGCCTGCCTGGCCTCTTTCTCACTTAAACTATTCCCTCCAGAGGGTTTCCTTATGCAAAGAGGCTGTCCACCATCAGGCCTGAAACCTGGGGTGGGCTGGCTTACGCATAAATGCTATCCTGTTAGCAGATCTCTTTTGCTTTGCCCTTGCAACCAGAGGACCACTTTGGAGGCAGCTCGGAGCCCTGCCTGGGCAACAAGTACAGAGCAGAGAAAGCCCAAACTTGTGCCTTTGTCACTCTTCCTGGCTCCTCCTCCCGCGTCTGTTCCCAGAAAGCTCCTTCTGTTCCCTGAGCCTGTCCAGCTGGAGGGGTGGGAAAGACAGACCGTCTGTCAGACCCTCCAAAGGGACTTCCAGAAGTTGGGGTGGAGAAACAGACTTTGAGAAGAGGACCACACAATGGGACCTCGGGGAATTCACATCTTCTGCCTGTGATCAAGTGGCCGACAGCCTAAAGGGAGGGCTGAACGCCAGGGGCCCAGGCCAGGAGGCTGCAAAGCACAGGACTCACTCACTCATGTTCCAAGGCCTGTGAGTCAGCAGGAGGAAGTGCAGCTGGGAGGATGGGGCGGGAACCAGACGACCACCACTCCTGGGTCCCGCCTGTCTGCCCGACCCCCACCATCTCTGAAGTCCCTTCACCCCTCCATGAACGTCTACAGTGTACAGGAACCAAATCAATCTACCACAGGCAGTTGCTGGACCCCCTACTCAGAGGCCAGGACACCGGGCAAGAGCTTGAAGCCTCAGGTTGTTCATTCATTTATCCCTTCATCTCCTTTCCCAAGTCTAGGGTGTGCTCAGCACTACACAAGATGCCAGAAAGGCAGAAATGAGACAGACATGGCCCACAAAGAACATGTGGCCCAGAGGGGTGACGAACAGGAAAACAGTTCACTAAGGGGATCTGGTGAGAGCAAGGAGTGTTAGCTCTTCCTGGGGGCAGGACTGGGCATCAAGAAAGGTTTTAGAGAGTGTGTTAGTTTGCTAGGGCTACCGTATCCAAATACCACAGACTAGGTGGCTTAAGCAACAGAAATGTATCTCCTTACCTTTCTGAAGGCTGGAAGTCCAAGATCAAGGTGTCAGCAAGCGATGGTTTCTCCTGAGGCCTCTCTCCTTGATCTGCGGATGGCTTCTTCTTATTGTGTCCTCTCACGTGACCTGTTCTCGGTGCATACAACTCCCCAGAATCTATATCTACAACCAAATTTCCTCTTAAAAGGATGCCAGTCAGATTGGATTAGGGACCACTCTAATGGTCTCAGGGTAGCTCAATCACCTCTGAAGAGCTTCTCTCCAAATGCAGTCACAGTCCAAGATACTGGAGACTGACATTTCAACATATAAATTTTAGGGAGACACAATCCAGCCCGTAACAGAGAGGTTGTCTTCGGGCTGTGCCTTAATAGTAGAGCTGAAACTGGCCACATGGGCCAAACAGAGAACTATTCTTGATGTCAAGCCCAGCAGAGCAAAGACCCAGAAATACCAAATGCCTGTCACCTTCAGGGAGTAGCAAGAGTTGGCTACGCAAGAAAGAAGGCAAAAGTAGCCCACGCTTTAAGGATGTCGTGTGTTTTCCTGGTAGTTGTGTATGGGAAGGGGGATGGTGGGCAAGAGTTCAGGCTCTGAATGTCCTCATGTGCAGACTGAGTATTGTGCGGACTAAATCAAAGTCTGTTAGACTCGGAGTGTTTATAATAATTAATTATCACTATTATAAGTGGTTCTCCTTTTTGGTACTCCTTTATGTCCTTTGGTAACTATATATTAGGTTTTTTTTTTTTAATGAAAAAGTAAGATGGTCAAGAGGTAGCCGATGTTGGGAAACTCAGAAGAGTGAGAAAATCTACTCCATGTAGCAAATCTACTCTAGTCATCAAGTGTTTGCTGGGTGTAGTTGTCTGCTCAGTGCTGTCTGGAGGGGAGAAATCTAACGCAGGCTCTTGTAGCAGAGCTGACAACTCATCTGGGAATGTTCCTTCAGAGGATGAGCCCACCCGCAGGAAGCTGGCAGGGGTGCTGTGGTTTGTAATCGCAGCCCTTACCCCTCTAACCCCCGAAGGCACCAGACTCAGAACTGGTAGCTAAATCAAAGCTCCAGGGACAGAGATGACTTAAAGACCTCCCAGAAAGTGGCTAAAAGCCCTGAAGGATGTTTTTCACATAAGCTCTCTTGAGAAGGGCTTAGGGCTCACCCTCAGATTTCCTTGAAACTGTAACTGAAAGAAAGTTTGGAAAATCTGAACGCTCCAGTCTCTGAGAGGGAAGTGAACAGAGCAGGGACGGAGCCAGAAGAACAAGCCCAAGCTCTGACTCTGCCTTTACTGAGCTATGCAATTTTGGTGGAATCACTAGTCGGGGAATCTTTGAGTGGTCAGTTCCTTCATCTCTAAAAATCAAGAGCAAATTACCACCTACCCCCACCTGCCGTAGGACTGGGTAACTGTTGGGATCAGATGGGGGAACCGAAGAGACAGTGCTCTGAAACTGCACAATTCCACATATCTTGAGCCATCGACAGAAGGATGAGACCGCTAGGCTTCCAGAGTGGGTGTAAAGGGACATCTCCGTAGTTCCCAACCTGGGTGTACACTGAAAACATCTGGTTGCTGGTAAGAACTAGCTACCTGGGCTCTCCAAGATGTTTCCCAGGTGATACCAGTGTGCAGCGAGGGTACAAAACACAGCTTATAACTAATTTGATTGATTAGGTCATTTTACTCCTTCAGCAAAACCCATCGTCCACAGCTGTGATGGTAGAAAAAAAAAATCTCTCCTAAACCACTTCCTGGGGTGCCTGGGTGGCTTAGTCCGTTAAGCTTCAAACTCTTGATTTTGGCTCAGGTCATGAGCTCAGGCTCCTGGGATCCAGCCCCTGAGTGCTGGGGGGTGGGGGCCTCTGCATGCTCAGCAGGGAGGCAGCTTGGGAGATTCCCTCTTTCCCTTCACCCCCTTCTTGTTCTCGCTCTCTCTCAAGTAAACACATCTTTAAAAATAAATAAATAAAATGTTTCCTGAGCAGAGTTAAATCCTCACACCTAATCACTAAAGACTCTGGTTCTCAAAACATAATATGCAAGAGGATCCCATGTGTTACTTGTTAAAGAAGAGGCCAGAAACTCACCTCTATGGAGATTCTAATCCATTCAGTCTGATAACGGGCTCGGGAAATCTGCATTTTAGTCACATCTGGTGTAAAGAGAATCCATTGGACCCAAAAGAAAAAAGAATTAACTTCTTAACCTTGCCCTCATACTAAACAACAAGTAATCTTAGCCTTCTGACAACAATAAGAACCACAATAGCTACTGTTTATTGAACACATACCTCATACCAGGGTCTTAGGTACAAGTATCTGGAATCTTCTTAAGAGCGATGAGGTAGTATTCCGAGTTTGCAAACGTGCACCCAATACTCCTCCCTCTGGGAAGAGTTCTTCCCCTCCCACTTTGTGTTGAGGAACTGCACTTTCCCCATTTCACGTGACTGTAGTGGAACTGCCCATCAAACTGCCCAGTACCACCCCTTGGGGGAGAGGAAGAGGCCCACAGGGCATGTGACTCCATCCCAGCCAATCAGGTTCCTCCTTCTGGGCCTCTGACTTGAGTGGGGACAGGTTGGGGCCCAGGGCAGGTGTGTCCTGCTTTCCCTGGGCTGAGGCCCTGAGCCAGCTGTTCCCAAGATTTGATGGTTTAGCTTTCTCTTCCATTTCATGAGCTATTCAGTAATCTTCCTGTAAATCTTTTTTTGGCCTAAGTTAATCAAAGTTGGTTTCATTTATTACAACAAAAAAATTAATGAAATATTCATTTTACAGATTAAGAAGCTGAAGCTCAGAGGAATTCAATAACCGAGTCGAGGATCCCACGTACAGGAGACAGCAAAGCAGGACGTACCACTGGGCCTCTCTGGCTTCACAATACCTGACGTTATTTCATTTCCCCTTGAAATTCATTCTCCTGAGAACTCCAAAGGGTCAGAGGAGGAAGAAGAGAAAGTGCACTTTCAAAACATATATGTTCTTTGAAAAATATGAAGAGAAATTTAAAGGTTACTACAAACTCCCACACTCATCCCTCTGTAGGTTTAAAACCTCCCAGAGACAATTATTAATTTAATTATCCATTTCTATTAAATGTCTCAAGGGTATAACCAGCAACTGTCTTATTAAATTATATATTACAACACATGGCTGAGTAAAAAAGGCATAAAAAGCAAACAGTGGTTCAAGTTGGGAAAATGCCAAAGAAAAACATTCCAACAAAGTAATAATTAATACCAGAATTCACCACCACTTCAGCTGAGTTTGTTTTATTTTATTAAGTTATTGACTTCTTAAATTCATGGATCCTAGATTATGATCCTGAAATCAGAAAACAGAGGCTACACTTGTGACCAAAAGTGTGACCAAGTCATCCTTCTGAACATTAAATTTTCCAGCTCTGGTTCCCATAACAAATGGCTTCTCTTGCTTCCTCTTTCCAGCCATACACATGAGACTATCAAGAGAAAAAATATCTATATTAGTCAGTAATATGACTGTTGTTCTGCTGGTCACTGCAGCCCAAAGCCAAGACCAAGCAGATATTTGTCACTACATGGAAATTAATTTTGCAGAATTTACTTTAAATATATACATAAGCCCTATTCATTGAGTGTTGACTGTCTCAAATACACCTCATTGAAGAATTCTAGGAAGCCTTCTTTTGCCGAACATACCCAATGTATGCCCCATAACCAGTGCCCCTAAATGATAAGCACTTGGGCAGCTTTCACACGCCGCTTCACTGCACTTCTATGCAGTACCAGGTATCAGTATATGGCAAACCATTTATTCCCCTCAGGGAATTCAGTCTAAAAATATAATCAACAAAAAATTTAAAAATGAAAAATTAATAAAAATATGATCACCAATGTATGCAAATATTTAAGCCCTAAGTCTATTAATCATAGCATTGTTTACAAGAAGAAAAAAATGGAAACAATGTAAATGTCTAATGATTAATTAAATATGTTATGGCATAACCATTGTAAAAACCCCATTATAAATAAGTGTTCATGAGAAAAATGTTCATGGAATGCATTCATGATTGTTAAATGGAAAAACTCATAGAACAGTAAGTCCAATGTGATTCTTTTTTTGTGTACATATATATACAAATATATATGAAATATTTTCCAAAAAAAGATTAGAAGGATATTCACCAGAATAAAGGACAGTTATTCCTGAGAACTATAATTGTAAATTTATTTTAAGATTTTATTTATTTTTTTGAGAGAGAGAGAGAGATCATGAGTAGGGGAGAGTGGCAGAGGGAGAGAGAGGAGCAGACTCTCCACTGAGCAGGGAGCTCAATCTCAGGACTCCAGGGTCATGACCTGAGCTGAAGGCAGATACTTAACTGAGTGAGCCACCCACCCGTCCCTATAATTTTTTTTTATTTTCTTATAGTCCATATCCCTCAAATTTTAAGGAGCATTTTTTTAAAGCAAACTATTGGGTTGGCCACAGAATGGTCAAGCTGTTAGGTTTGCGTTCCCAGTCAGATCTTAGTTGGCAGCTAATAGTATCCCACAGGACTGGACTTTCAGATCATTAGCTGCATGCTATCTGGGAGGCCATTCAGATGATTCCAGGTATTGTCATGTACAAAACTGTCAAGAAAGAGTCCAAATAGAGAAGTAAATTCAAAGGATTGAGAAATAGAAGGGAAGAAAAAGGTAAATAGATTGCCATCAACATAAAATGTAACTGGTGATTTGTGCAGCTTTACCAACAGATGATTTGTAAAGCTTTACCAACTTACTTTCAAAAATAAGGGAAATAGCCTAATGCAGGTACAATTCCTTGAAGAGGTCAAGTCTAAAGTCAGTGTGTAAGAACTACTGCCACTCTAGTAGCCTAAAGCAAGTCTAACAGAAATGTAATAATTATCTATCTCCCTCCAGCTTCAAACTCATTCTCAACTCCATTACCAGGCAACCAAAAGCAGGATGTTATTTTGAAAGACGTGGAGGGGCAGCCCAGGTGGCTCAGTGGTTTAGTGCCGCCTTCAGCCCAGGATGTGATCCTGGGGTCCTGGGATGGAGTCCCACGTTGGGCTCCCTGCATAGAGCCTGCTTCTCCCTCTGCCTATCTCTCTCTCTCTCTCTCTCTCTCTCTCTCTCTTTCTGTGTGTGTGTGTCTCTTGTGAATGAATGAATGAATAAATGAATGAATAAATAAATAAATAATAAAATCTTTGAAAGATGTGGAAAATTAACTTCCTCTCTAACCTAGTTCAGAGTATAGCAATCGCTTTGGCCACCATCTTGGTTTTGACCCAACCTCCCAAAACATCCCACAGAGAAGGCTCCCATTGTCTCTGACTGCCTCTGTCAAGAAGACACAAAGGATTATGAGGAAGTCTTCACTTCAGACTGTAACACTACCTCACACACTTTCTGCTAATGTGGTCAGCCAGTTCTTCAAACTCTCAATACCTATTTACCACAACAGTGAATGTTTCTGTGTTATGGCTAGAATAATTTCAGAACAAGTGCTTCATACAAAAGACAAATAACTATAAAATATGCCTTAAAGTCTTGAGGGAAACACTGAAATATTTTTTAAATCACTTTTCATAGATCAAAGATCTTGGATAATTGGGGACACACTTATGTATTCTGTATATCATGTTTGTTCTGTAGCCCAAATGGTCCCTGGCCTGAGAGCACAAGTCAGGATCCTGGAGCACTTGCTCTGTGTTTGTCCTCTGTGGGAGGGCAAAGGCTGGCTCTACCTCTATTTGTTGCCTCCCAACTACCCTCCTTACCCATCTTCCCTTCAGGCAGAGCCTGCCTCCCATGACAGAGACGGAAAAAACACCAGATAATTGCTTTCCCAGCCTCCCTTACAGTAAAGTAGCCAAGTGATACCAGTTTGGCCAGTGAAGCATAAGAAAAGTTCTGAGAAACTCCTGAAAAAAGATTTGCTTTCTTCATTTTATGAATGAAGCAACAGAGGAGAAGAGCTTTCTTTCCCACCACCTTCCCTTCCTTTTAAGGATGTGATTGTAAGATGATTTGTAGCTGCAGCAGCCATCATGAGGCCATGAGGAGAAACATTGTTGACTCACTATGGATGGCAGGGCAGGAAAAGAGATAGAGCCTGGGAACTTGAACCACTGCACAAAACCCTGTATTCACATACTTCCTGACTTCTTAAATGAGATACTAAGTTTTCACATCTTTTTCAAAACTTTCATTTGCATATTCTACTATTTACAGCTGAAAGCATCCCACCTAATTCTACTCAGAGAGCTCTATATCCTCCCCAGACCTCATAGCCTCCTTCCTCTCTTTGAGAAGGCTTTCTATTATTCAAGGCAGAAATAACATCACAGCCTTAAGAAGTACTTTTGATATACTTTACCAGCTTCCAGGCCTTCCAGAAAATAATGACTATGCATTTCCCCAACTCTTTGAAAGCTTCCTTGTGATTAAAGAGATGTCCAAAAGATTGCCAAGGTGTTTCAGTTATCAACTGCTGTGTAACAAACCACTGAAAAATTTATTAGCTCAAAATGACAATTACTTATTTGCTCGCAGTCTTGTAGGTCAGTAATTTGGGCTGGGCTCAGCTGGGACAGCCCATCTCTGCTCCATATGGTATCAGTCAGTCTCCCTTTGCATTTGGAGTTCATTGGCAGATCTCAGTTGGCAGGTCAGCTGGAGACTGGCTGGTCCTGAATGTCTGACAGTTAGCCTGTTAGTGAGCAGAACTCATTTCCCTTCCATGGTCTTTTTAGCAGGAGCTCAGCTTCCACACATAGCATCTGAGTTCTAAAAGCCTGAAAGTGGAAGCTGCAAATCCCCTTGAGGCCTGCAATCAGAAATCACAATCTCTTTTATGGCATTCTGTTAGTAAAAGCAAGTCACAGGACAGCCCATCTTCAGGACATGTGGGAATAGGCTCTGTGTCTTGATGAGAGGAGCGTTAGTTAATTTGTGGCCAAGTTTAATCTCCCACCCAAGGTACTTGCAGTCTGAATAATTAACAATTGTTAGAATTGGAGCAAATGAAATTCTCCAACAACGACAATTTTTTTTTAGTTATACATACTGGCCACACAGCTACATATATGTTAATGTAATTATGCAGATGAAGATGCTGACCAAAAAATTAGTGGAAAAGGAGAGCAGATATTTTTATTATTTTCCAATTTGAGGGATAAGACTACAAAACAAAATTAGAAAGTTCTTAGAGGGGTGCCTGGGTGGTACAGTTGGTTTAGCATCTAATTCTTGGTTTCAGCTTAGGTCATGATCTCAGGGTTGTGAGATTGAACCCCACGTTGGGCTCCATACTCAGCACAGAATCTGCTTGCAATTGTCCTTCTCCCTCTGCCCCTCCCCGGCTGAATACGTATG